GGCATATGGAAGAGCAACAGATGTGTTGTAAGATGCCGCAGAGAAGCTTGGTTCCTGGAACGCTATGCTGACTGCTTATGCACAAAATGGTTACTTGGATAAAGCCGCAAGAGATGTTCCATTCCATGCCCGAACTAAGTCTTCTTGCCTGGACAGCAATGCTTTCGGCTTTTACCGCGAAAGGGCATTTTGCTTCTGCTAAGAAAACGTTTGACTCGATGCCAGAGAGAAGCTTTGTGAGTTACAATGCAATGTTGGCATCGTTTGTAAAATTTCGAAAATACGATTCAGCTTTAAATTTGTTTCAAGTGATGCCGGAGAGGAACTTAATATCTTCGACGACTATTCTTACAGCATTAGCTAATGGCAAGCATTTGGAAAAGGCAAAGGAAGTGTTTGATGGAATGGAGGAGCGTGACATTGTGTCATGGAACGCAATGCTAACCGCGTACGCCCTGTGCAGTGGGCTTGAGGAAGGAAGGATTTTGTTTGATGGAATGCCAAAGAGAAACCTGATATCCTGGAACGCTATGCTGACTGCATATGCTCAAAGCGGGCATCTTGAAGAGTCAAAATTTCTTTTTGACACCATGCCTTTCCAAGACTTGGTAGCTTCGAACACAATGCTGGCTGCGTATGCCGATAATGGAGAGCTTGAGAAGGCTAAATCCATATTTGATGACATCCAGAGTGGAGATAAATTTTCATGGACAACCCTCTTGGTCGCTAACGTTAACAGAGGCGAGCTAGAGCAAGCAAATGCGATCTTTGTAATGACACCAGAGCATGATATTGTTTCGTGGACTACAATGCTTGGTGCTTATGCAAACCTGGGAAGGTTTCAAGAGGCCATCGAGATCTTTAGCATGATCAAGTTGGTCGATTCACCGGACGCTCCATGCTTCTTGCTTGTGCTTCTAGTGTGTAGCCATGCCGGGAAAGCAAGCATTGGTCGAGGCTACTTCTTTTCAATGAGAGTCGACTATGGCATCAAGTCGACCAAGGAGCACTTCAGCTGCATGGTCGATCTTCTCGGCCGAGGTGGAAGCTTGGGTGACGCTCGAGATCTCATCTCCAGCATGCCTTATGTTCCCGAGAGCCTTGACTATAGAAGCTTTCTGAGGAGCCAGAGGGATGGAACAACCACACCAATTCAAAGAGAAGCTCGTGATCAATTCAGAGTGGATCTCGACGTGAGAGAATGCGATGAGAGCTCCTCTTCGTATGTTCTTCTCTCAAGCAGCTTGCTTCCTTGAAATCAAACATCAAGTGTCCATGAAAGGCTGCTCGAGAGAAATTTAGCTGCGGATTTCACTCATTATACCAGCACGCTTCTTCTCCAGAGAAGAGATTTGGACATAAGCTGATGAGTTCTTCACGGCTCCAGATTCCAGAGCACGGCTTGCGACGATAGGCCATACCAGGAAGGAGAGGCAGTAGCTCTTGAGAAAACTCCAAGCATCTCGCCTTCCCGAGCACGTTGATGACACACGAATAGTGTTGCTTGAGTGTGATGGAGCTAGCTAGTGTCCCCATTGGGTCTTCTATACATGAGTTTCAACGCTCTGATCCATCTTAAAGATCTAAATTAGATCAGATCTTCCATTGCTTACACCTGGCCCCGCCCCAGGTTACAATAGCTTGTGGTTTGAGTTTCCTTCAACTGCTGTGTCCAAACAGTAGTCTTCGTAAGCATGTCTGCTTTGCAATCACATCTCCTCATGCCTGATATCTTCTCAAAGTATGTCGAAGTGTTTGTTCCCCTCAGAGAGTTGTTCATATTCAGCGGGTGTCCGCAGCTAGAAAAACTGATGTCGTCTCCTTGCAATGTGATGCTACCATTCTCTACTTCTAATCACTGCATTAGTGAATTGAAAAACTGTACCCAATTGCAGAAAATGATCGCTTGTTCGGGATTTCATCGCGCCATGCCGCGAAATTTGTTGCCTGGATCACTGGCGGTTCTCTAGATTTCTAAAAAGAACTAGCTGCAAGCCGGGGTTGCAGAAAGGCTTCAGTTTCGCGCACTGCACGACGTGTAAGTCCTGGCACCGGCTGATAGGAAATGGAGGCAGCCGGGTTTCGATTCTTTGTGACTAGAGACATTCTCTACATTTTGTGCTGCCAAGTTTCATCTTGCTTTCATTTCGACCTTGGCGTACATGGGTTTTTTTTTTAGATCATTCGTGGTATTTTGATCTACAAGTTCTACTATATATGCGATTTTTTTCATCTATTCAACGGAGCGGGAGAAGCCGGAGCCCTGGTGCTGCGCCTTGCAGTCCTGGCGCTCTTTGCAATCGACGGGATCTTCTGGCCTTCATGGATGCACAGCGCGACGAGCACGAATCTCTCCACCTCGCCCATGCCATTTAACGAAAGCACTTGTCAACTCGTCAAGGACCATTAAAGTCATGTTGCATTCCATGCCGTTCCATGGACAGGATCGGAAATACTTGGATAGCACCTTGATGAGCTGCTGGAGAGGATGAAGATCGCAACTTATTAGGGTGTACTACTCATGAATTTCTCTCTCATTTTTTTTGTTCCCATCAAGGTACAGCTCTCCAAACACTCTTGAAGCACTTTCATTGTCTATAATAATGGTTCCACTGTCCAAAACGCAGCAGGCCAGTGCCCTCGATTTTGTGGACTTACATAGAGCAAATGCAGCTGCATAGCAGGGATCCAGTGTGCTAGAGCGGGATCCTTGACGCCCGACTTTAGCATAGCATCTTTCATTTCCTCCCTGAGTTTCACATCACTGCCTTCACAAACGAAGGCAGCCGATCCTTGCTCAGATCGGAGAGGAACATTGGCAAGGCATACCTGTTTGAATGCACATAGACATTGTAAATCCCCTCCTTCAACTTGCCATTTAAGTTTGCTACCTCACCAAACCAATCCTACCGCCTGGGACAAGTCATTGAATCCTTCATTTTGAGTAGACATGACAAAGTAGAGGCCATACTCCTCCTAAAACAGAAAAGACTAACAATTCAGCAGCAGCATTACTAGTGGTGCATATCACTTAGACTTAATAGATCGTACACTGATCTCATCTTTCCACAACCATGAGTTCTAGGTCAACGGGAAAATGCTCGGCAAAATGGAAGAACTAGGCCTGGACCAAACTTACAAAGACCTACACAAGGTGGGATTATGCACCTTCACAGGGGTTGACACTATGATCCAAGAGCACTAGATGGCTAATAATTGTGATCAAATAAGAGCTTTCTACAGCCTGGACATTTTGGAACATAGGATGTGAAAATTTCAAACACATTAGTAGTCTTCCACATTGTTAAAAACAATCATGTTTGGAGACACTATACTTGCCTAAGACTTCCCCCTTCCCCATCAGTGGTGGAAGCTAGATGACACTATCATTTACACACTCCCTAACATAGTCTTTAAACTGGTCTTCACACACTGGAAGGCTACTCCCCATTGTCATCCCTGAATACAAGGAAGTCATGCCAAGCCTTATCCAAATGGAAAAAAAGACAACATATATAGACTTGGTGGTACCAGAAAGACAATATGCCCAACTTTACTGGTTCTACCAATAGACATTAGAATAACTCCAAATGGGATCTAGTGGAATGGCAATGGAGGGACACATACAAAAGATTCTTTCAATATGAGACTAAACTCAGCCAGAGAGTGGTTTATACCCTGGTACAAGCCACATTCATTGAGAAAGCAAGAGGATAATAGATTCACTCCCGAAACTATCTATAGTGCATGAATATGTTGCTGGTCCACTAAGACCCAATACTTCATATGGCTCGCCTAGCAGAAGTGCCCCCCTCACTCATGGTAATCCACCTTCCAAACACAACTTGCAAACTCTATGAAGCAACTGAGATATAATGCCATATTCTATGAAAATGTTTAGTGGGAAGGTTCCATGGCAATTCTCAAAAGAATCTCTCAAGACAGCATATCCATAACTTATGAATCAATACTTTGGGGCTGTTTCCTCTAGGGAAAGGCTAAACACCCGAATGCTTAGAAGTGGAGACATAGTGAGAACCCTTACCTCAACCAACTTAACCAAACATACATACACACTAAGCCTTTTGATGGATGTGGAGATTTGATTGCTTAGAAGTTTGTTTCAACTTTTGAAATCTTCTTCTTCATGTCTGGGGCATGAGTTAAATCTGTGAACCCAGGCACTTTAACCCAGTGGCAAACCCATCTAGGAACTTGGATAGCTTAAAAAGACATTAGCCTAGCATAGTGGGGCTACCTTCAAAACATCAATGAGGATTAGAAAGGGAAAACAACCCAGCGAAAAATGATGTATAGTACTTGTGTGTGAGCAGCCACTCTTGGCACTATCGAGAGATCTCCGGTGAGTAGCTTCCATCCAAGTCACGTTTCCTACGCCTCAAGAATGTAGCATTTTTTATGAGGATTTCCCAGGTACTCCATAAGAGATGCGAGTCACCATTTTGAGCAAGTGTGCATCCTGGCAATCATGTCTTCAAAGATCTCTTTGAAGCAAGTGAGCAGCAGCCCAAGAAACAATGTTCGTTTTAGGCATAGACGCGAAGGGTTCTGTGGCTTCAGAGAGCAAACCATGACCATGAAGACAATAAGAATTGCAGTCCATCTAGCTGCCCCCGTAACACTAATTACCAAACATCTCGATCACAGCTTGATGAGAGGTTGATTCGTCGCCACCGTACCTGATCGCGATTGCGCAGCTGCACGCCGCGCTCGATCTCTGGACGATCCTGCGAATCCGATAGACCATCGCTGATTGCTCTAAATCGACGCCAGGAACACGGAGTCTATCTCTCCAAGCTAATCAAAATGTATGGCAAGTGTGGAAGCACGAGGTACGCGAAGGGGATTTTCAACGCCATTGCCAGCCGAGGAGCAAGTGCTGTCCTGATGCTCTCGGCTTTCTGCAAGAACAGACGAAACGAGGTGGCTAGGAATGAGCTCGTCGACTCATCGCCTGGAATACCATGCTCTCCTCATATGCCCATTTTGGGCATTTGGAAGAGGCAAAGAAACTGTCTGATGAAATGACACAAAGAATCATGGCGGCTGGAACGCATGCTCGGTGCATATGCACACAAATGGTAATTTTGGATAAGGCCTAAAGTTTTCACTTCAGGCCCGAGCTTAGGCCCTTCTTGCCTAGAAGGCAGTTTTTTAACTGAAAAGAAAACTTTTGACGAGAGAAGCTTTGTGAGCTACAATGCAATGTTGTCAGCGTTTATAAGAGGTGGAAAGCATGACTCAGCATTACAATTGTTTGAAGCAATGCCAGAGAGAAATTTGGGCTCGACAACTACTCTATCCTTTGGCGTTAGCCAATTCCGGGCATTTGAAACAGGCAAAAGGAGGTGTTCAATGGGATGGAGGAGCGACATTGTGTCGTGTGTATGCTCAATGCGTTGAGATAGAGGAGGCAAGGTGTCTGTTTGGAGGCATTGTCTGTTTTTTATATCATGTGGTACCCTCTAACACAATGCTGGCTGCTTATGCCGATAATGGAAAATTTGAACAAACCAAGTCCATGTTTAAGTTCTCGTGGTTAATCACAAACATCAACTGAGGAGAGCTAGAACGATCTTTGTTATGTCACCTATGATATCGTTTTGTGGACTGCAATGGTTGGTGCTTATGCAAACCTAGGAAGGTTTCACATCAAGTTCTCACTTGTACTTCTAGTGTGTAACATGCCAGAAAAGCAAGTGCTGGTCGAGGCTACTTCTTTTCCATGAGTCGACAGTGGCATACTTTAGCTGCGTGGTCGATCTTTTCGGTCGGGGTGGAAGTTTGGGCGACGCTCAAGAGCTCATCTCTATGTGCCGGAAAGCCTAGGAACCAGAGAGATGGATCATCAACACAAAGAGATTCTGACTTGGGAGGTTGCAATGATAGCTCTTCTTCATATGTTCTGAAGAACATATGGCTGAAATCTCTCAGCCAGCCTTGAATCAAAGATTACATCACCAATACCAGGATGAATGGCTTCTCGAGAGAGATTTAGCTCCTCATTGTACCGACACACTTCTTCTCCATGGAGAAGAGACTTGCAAGGAGGACATAACCTGACGAGTCCTTCACGGCTCCAGAGTCAAGAGCACTGCCTGCGACAAAAGCGCCATAGCCAAGAGCTTTGTAACTTCGACACGAGCCCAGGAAGGAGAGCCAGTCCACGGCTTCCGGCACAAAAGGCATACAACTCATGAGCTCGTGAGCAAACTCCAAGTATCCCGCCTTTCCAAGCAAGTCAATCACACACGAGTAGTGCTGCTTGAGTGGAGGGAGGCCAAAATCTTCGACCATGGACACAAAGTGGCATCGTCCTTGGTAAACTTTGCCTTGATGCGCACAAGCTATCATTCCAGAGACAAAAGATACATGATCCGGGGAGTAAACCATCTTGAGCTCGTGGAAAATCTCCTCGGCAATCTCTGGCTTTCCATTTTGCGTGTAGGCAGCGAGCATAGCACTCCATGAGATGGAATCTCGCTGTGGCATTCCTCTAAAAGTTTTTGCAGCGTCTCCAAGATGGCCTCTCTGTGCTTGAGCAGCGAGAATGATCGTCCAGGAGAACACATTCTTCTCCGGCATAACATCAAAGACTTGCTTCGTCGACTCCAAATCCCCATTCCACACATAAGCACTGGCAAGGCAGTTCCAAGAGACGAGATCACAAACTGGCATGTTATCAAAAATCTTCTTGGCTTCGTCAAGGTGCCCGTTTTGGGCATACGCCCCCAGCATGGTAGAACACGACGCCATGTCTTGGTGCTGGATTCCATCAAAAACCAGCCGCGTTTCTTCAATATGCCCAGCTTGGGCATACACTGCGAGCAGTGATGTTAATGCAACTTGGTCTCTTTCAGGCATTAAATCAAAGACTCTCCTAGACTCTAAAACTAAATATTTTTGGCCATAAGCAACTAGCAAGTTCGTCCACGAAATTACATTTCTTAGCGGCATAGTTTCAAAGAGATATTTAGATTTCTCTAAACACCCACAACGGGCATTTGCGGACAATATAGCGTTCCATGATACAAGATCTTTGTCAGGCATGTTATCAAAAAACCAAGTTGCATCGCCAGCTAGGTGGTTTCGCGCATACAGATCAAGCATTGTGACCCACGAGACGAGATTTCTCGCTGGCATTGTGTCAAAGATTTGTCTCGCTCCCTGCAATTGCCCGTTCTTGGCAAATGCCGCAAGCATCGCGTTCCAGGCCACCATGTTGGGCTGGGGCATCGCGTCAAAGGTGGATTTGGCCTCTCTCAAGTAGCCATTGCGGGAGTACGCGTGTAGCAGCAACACCCACGAGAAGTTATCCTTGGCGGCGATTCGATCGAAGGCTTGTTGTGCGTGGAGGACGCTCCCACACCGCCCATACATTTCGATGAGCTTGTTGGAGAGGAAGATATCGCGGCTGGAAGAGAAATCCCTGCAATTCACAATGGCTGCGTGTAGATCCTTGGCAGCTGCGAGGGTTTGGACGCTCTGGACGAGCTCGAGGCATTTTCTCCGATCCCAAGCATTTCCCATCCCAACGTGTATAATAGACCCTCATACTTTTCTGCTGAATTATTTGAATCCCAAAGTGCGGCGCTCATAAAAAATATCAATCATAGGTTATGTTAATAAGGTGATTTACTATTTGCATTTCTTGGGGATCCTGGAGGTGCATAAGCGACCGGACATCGCAGGAAGGCTGCGCCTCCACGACGAGATCGCCTTCGAGGAGCTTGGTCGTGACGGTGGCGATGAACGAGCAAGGGCGCTTCTTAAAACTGTTTACGAGTAGAGAGCTCTTCTTTGTTCTTCGTGGACCGGGACCCGAGCTTGAGCGGTGTCTCCTCCCAGCTCGGGGCATTCAATTCCTCCATACCTGTGGATGAGAGCTTTCGGAGCTCTGTGTTGGTGTCACGGAATGTCCGACGGCCACATGAAGACGTGCGCGAGTTTGAATCCCTTCAGCGATGGAAACGGTCGGATCGGGAGGATACTCCTGGCAGCCATTTTGATGCACGCCCTTCCCAAACGTACTGTTCGTGGAGAGCATGAAGCAGGAGCCGCCGTTCGTGAACAGGGACGACTACCGGGAGTGCTTTGAGAAGGCGCAGGCTGAGCAAGAGTTTGATGCGAGTTATGGCGAACGAGTGCTGAGCTTCACGAAAGAGGGGGCGGTATGCCGGGTTGATCCGCCACGGGAGCTGGCGGCGCTGGCGATTGAAGGCGTTTACGTGGGGTGGAAGCGCTTTTGTTTCGAGCTCTGGACCAAGCGTTCCAGCTGAAGCAAGCAACAGCATGGAAACCGAGGTGGTGGCAGCCGCGACAAGCTGTCGAGACTTAGGCACTATTGTAGCTCCGGATTTCTCTCATTGTACATAAGCTGACGAGTCCTCCACGGCTCCAGATGCAACAGCACGGCCTGCGACGAAAGAGCCATAGCCAAGGGCTTTGTAGTCCACGGCTTCCGGCACAAAAAGCATGCAACTCATGAGCTCTTGAGCAAGCTCCAAGTCTTTCCAAGCAAGTCGATCACACACAAGTAGTGGTGTTTGAGTGGAGAGATGCCGAAATCTTCGACCATTGGACACAAAGTGGCATAGATGGTTTACTCCCCGGATCACGTATGTTTCGTCTCCAAGATCATAGCTTGCACACATCAAGGCAAAGTTTATCAAGGAAGTGATCTCGTCAAACATGTCCTCTGGCAATCTTTGGCTTTCCATTTGCGTGTAGGCAGCGAGCATAGCGCTCCATGAGATGGTGGCATTCTTCCAAAAGTGTCTCCGAGATGGCCTCTCTGTGCCTGAGCAGCGAGAATGATCGTCCAAAAGAACACATTCTTCTCCGGCAAAACATCAAAGACTTGCTTCGTCGCATGTTATCAAAGATCTTCCGGGATTCGTCGTCAGGAAAACGTTTTGGGCATACGCTCCCATGTCTTGGTGCTGGATTCCATCGAAACCAGCCCCGTTACTTCCGCATACACTGTGAGCAGTGACATGGTCTGTCTCGAAATCGAAGATTTTAAAACTAAATGCCTTTTTCCATAGCAAGTTCTTCCACGAAATCACATTCATTAGCTCGTTTACCCTGAATGGCATCTGCGGACAATATTGAGTTCCATGATACAAGATCTTTGTCGGGCATATTGTCAAAGAAGAAAGTTTCACCATCAGGAAAGTGATTTTGCGCATCTACTGAGGCATTATGCTGCCGTCAGGTCACCATATTAGGCTGCGGCATCGCGTCAAAGGTGGATTTGGTCTCTCTCAAGTATCCACTGCGAGAGTACGTGTGCAGCAGCAAGCATAGCTTTGAAACACGAACACGAACACGAACACGGCATTCAATTTTTTGAACACGAACACAGAACACGGAAATGAACACGGAAATGAACACGGATAAACACGGGTGAAAACATGAATATTCTCAAGAATATTCTACTTATCACTCCATCTCATCTAGAAGCTCCTCATTAGCAGGATCATCATCTTCGTCTTCATCCTCTTCTTCCATAGCTTCAATATTAATATCAGTAATTTGAGGAATATTTCCTGTCTGGCTCAATCCCACAAACTTGTCATAGGAAGTGTGGCTCCCTATCAACTTGGTATTACTGGCCACAAATACCAAGTCTGCAATCTGGCTCACTGCTAAGCAATTCCTCTTTTTTAAAGTGATGTGCCCAAAAATGCTGAACAATTGCTCCACAGATGAGGAAGAACTTGCCTGACTAAGCATTCGAATTGCCAACCTTTGCAAATCTGGACCTGAGTAGCCATTGTCCTCCCACCACTGCACAGAACCTTTTGTTGTATGATCCATCTGAGAGTCCCTGGTGCCAAAACTACCTTCCAAGTTCCTGTATTGGCAAAGCTGATTTTTTATAGTTGACCTTTGCTGATAGTCAGGGAACTGGATCTCCAAGTACATGTTCCAATTTTAGAATCACGCTGTCAATAACACAATTGCAATGCCAAGCAACTAAGAATCACAGCAATCTACAAAGATGCAGTGCCAAGCAGCTAAGAATTATGGCAGAAGCAATCCAAGGAGAAAATTTGGGAGAGAAAATCTACAAATCTGGAGACAATGATCAGGAATTTTTTGCAGCGAAATCAGGTGTGGCTGAGCGCCATTCCTCCCACTCCAGCGCTAGAATCCTAGAGAGGCATTCCCAGCCCAAGAAAATTGCCATAAATCGCTGGAAAAACCTTTTGATTAATCACAGGAATTTTTGATTGATCACAAGACAAGAAAACATTAAAGCGCAAAATGCTCACATGAACCACGTGAGCTATTGTTTTAGAACACAGCATGGTCACATGGTATTTGACCGTGTTTCAACCGTGTTTGGAGCCGTGTTCTGGAGCATTGACCGAGTCAATGAACACGGCCTGTGTTAACACGGCTGGGGGCCGTGTTCGTGTCACCATGCCAACACGCCGTGGTGCACGGCGTGTTTTGAAGCACTGGCAGCAAGACCACGAGAACTTATCCTTGACAGGGATTCGATCGAAGGCTTGTTGCGCGTGGAGGACACACCTATATTTCGATGAGCTTATTGAGGAAGATTCCTGATTGCAATTCACAATGCGTACATGTAGATCCTTGGCAGCTCTCTGGATGACCTCGAGGCATTTTCTCCGATCCCAAGCATCTCCCATAAAAAAAGCCGAGCTTAGCATATTCTGAGTCTAACAATTTAAGCAAAGTGTTGATAAATTTTTGTTTTTAATGATAGCATTTATGAGCGAGATTGATTGTAATCCATTCATTAAATTTATTTATAGTTTTTCTTTTTATTTTGTTTCAAGAAAAACAAAAATGATGCACTGCTAAACTGTATCCATTAAATACTAACATTTAGTTGTCTTGGTTAATTATTTTTTAATATTTATTCACATTCAAAACACACTGATCCCAATCCCTTCATCAATAGCCAATATTTGTTTATGTGGTTATTGTCAAGTCAACACTTTTAAGCTTGTTAATATATATTATCCAAATTTTGATTTCAATTTAAAATTTTCTTCCAAATTTATGGCACTTCTTTGTCTTCATATTTTAATCCCACATACATTTGTAGTGGTTCATTTTCATACTTATTAATTACCATTATGGCAACTTTAGATTTCTTCAACTTTAAATTCATATTTATTATTTATTATTTAATATTTTTATTTAAAAGAGATTTTATACTATTTTATCAATTTAAAGATAATGGAATAAACTAATATTGAAAAAGCTAAAACTTGTATGACATAATAAAATAGTAAATTTTACACTTTTTATTTATTAGTATGCATTTAACATATTTCATAATTACATGATTAAACTGGATCACTTAGTGAAATAGCTATAGAAAATAAAAGAAAGATAGTAAATATTTTCCACAATATTTTTTACTTTATTATTCACAATTATGGTTTAGATTTAAAATTGAATATATTAAATAAGTATGGATCCGAATATTTATTATAATAAAAACCTATTATAATATACAATTATATATATAATTAAAATTTATAAACCATATTCTCTACAATTAAATTAACCTCTATAAATAATAGTAAAAATAATGTTCTATAACTAAATGGGCATTTAATATAGAAAACACTAATGATTTATACAAAATATTATAAATTGTAAATACATCTCATAAATCTCATGGGAAAATTAATACATATTAAAATAAAAACTAATTAAAACATATTTGACATTTAAACTATATTTTAAAGTTACTATAAACTATAAATATTTTGTTTATATCAAGTCAGAACATATAATATTTTGAGAAGTATAGTTAAAAATTTGAACCAATACCATTATATTTGCTTTGTAAAGTAATTAAAGTAAAAATAATTATTTAAATTTAGTTACTTTTGTATATGAATATTTTTGAGGGTATTATAAGTTATTACTTTTGAATAATACTTGCTTTTTGTAATATTTAATGTACTTAAATATGACTGTTTATGAAACACTTATAAAATTAAAAAGTATCTTTCACCGTAATTTTATATTTTTTGAAATAATAACTTATATAACAAATAAAAGTATATAATAACTCATCCAAAGTATTATCATGAAATCACTATAAAATGTAATAAAACATTTACAATAAATTATAATTGATAACAACATAATATTGTTTTTGGTAAATCTTTACTGTGCTGCTATACTTTTACATTATAAATCTTTAATTTCATATTTTTTATATTATAAAATATGTTTAAATAAGAATATAAATTTCTTATAGTCACTTATTTGTTTTTTGAAAATGTTTAAGTAATGAGAATAGTTCTAAAATTTGAAATTCCTAAATTATTATATAATAAATTAAAGTTTTTTGTATTATTTTCTCAAAAAAATTGTTTAAATATTATATTTCACAGTATTTTTAATATAATATTTTTGTTGTATCATATTAGTTTTTAGTTAGATTTTAAAGATGATTTTTATTATAAATATGAAATAATATACCTTTAATGGGAGAAAAATCTAAAATGATTTAAAAAGTAGTTTTTAAAGAATATTACAACTCTAAAAATACTGTATGCTTTGATTATTTGATATAGCTTTTTATCTGGTACTAAACTTGTTTATTAGTAGGACTTAAATAAAATAAGCCTAGAAATGCTGGTAAAGTTTAGTATAAATCACCAATTACTAATTTCTATTGTAGTCAAAGAGATTATTTGAGATAATACCTTTTTTTTTAGAACTGAGTAACCAGAATATAAACCTAATATAAAACATTCGTCCATTATAGAAACTACAACTATTAATATTTGCTGCAATGAGTGGAAGCTAGAGATACAAGATCTATGTCAGGCATTTTTGCAAAACATTAACTTGCACCACCAGCTAGGTGGTTTCGTGCATACTGACAAGCATTGTGACCCACAAGACTAGATTTTTCGCCAGCATTTTGTTAAAGATTTGTCTCTGTCCCTGCAATTGCCCTTTCATGGCAAATGCCAAAGGCATCGCGTTCCAGGCCACCATGTTGGGCTGCGGCATTGGGTCGAAGGTGGATTTGGCCTCTCTCAAGTAGCCTTTGCGGGAGTACGCGTGTAGCAGCAACACCCACGCGAACCTCTCCTTCTATCGAAGGGTGGAGGACACTCCCCACATCGCCCAAACATTTCGATGAGCTTGTTGGAGAGGAAGACATTGCTGCAATTCACAATGCCTGAGTGTAGATCTAGTGTTTGGACGCTCTGGACGAGCTCGAGGCATTTTCTACGATCCCCATTCCGGACTTGGCATATTGTCTCAGTGAAGTCTAGCAATATTTTTGTGTGTATTACTCTGTTTTCTTACTGGAGTTCGTCTTACATTTTCCTTGAATTCATGGGTGAAAAAGATCGACGATACAGGTGTACTCGGGCAGCAAATTACAGCCATCCGTCATTCGCTGGATCCACGGCATCGCGTACGACCATGGCTGCAAGCAAAGAGAATGCTGTTAAACGCCACACGGTCCGGGGATATCATTGTTTTATGGTCTGGACCATACGTTTATAAAGGAGACGAGTTTTAGAGTATTTTTCCAAGCAGATCAATATTGTAACAGGTGGAAGATGGACAGTTTCAAAAGTTTAGATTTAAATACTAGAAACATGTTCACGTCTTCAAAATATCATTTTCGTTGATTTTTCCAAATCTCCGGACGCCACTCGAGGAGGAGATCCCGCTGCTGGAGCTAAGGCTTGGTCTTTGGATTCTTCATCCGAATGCTGTGAAACGAGGACGATCTCCTTAAGATATGGCCCTTGGAAATCTGGAGGAAAAGAGTTTCCTGAGCACCACTGGAACTTCGCAAAGAGAGGCTTACCATTGTTGTCGTAGGATAGATAAACAAGAGCTCCTGGAACTAAGCCAGAATCGTACATGGTAAGCTTGGGAGGTGTTGTGTCTGGCGACAGAAAATTGGGTTTTGCTCTATGTTGGTTGCCAACGAGAGCAGTGGAGAACCAATCAAGTTATCCATACTGAATATATCCTTGCAGAGAAATCTCTTCAATCACACAACAACCATCTCCGGAAACTAGAATCAATTGAACTGAATCAATTGTTCTTTGTGTTATAAATTTTCTAGCAAACTTCCAACCTCTGCCACAAACTAAATCTTTGCTAGATACTGAAAGAAGCAATTCCAATGGATAACTTGCACAGAATATTATTAAATTTCTAAATCGTTAAACCTTAGAAGAGACAGAGGACAAGAGCATTTTTATCTCAGTCAAATCCTGCTGGAGCTTCTCAAAATATCCCTTCACCACTTCTTCCACCACCCTGCGAGTGGCTGGCTCATCCCGCTCCTGTTTACAATGCTACATAAGGTGACATTGACACACATCTAAAACAGACAATCACCTTTTCTTCCAAAGCGTTTGCCACCTTGGGCTGCCGCGATCCCAATGCTTTGACCCCCGGAACGAGCCCCGGATACAAGCTCCAGTCGCGCTCAACTGGTTCAGCAGCGGTACCAACATCGATGATCTTGACGGCGGAATTTCCAGTTTGCTTGAACATGCCACAGATGGCTGGCCCAATCGTGCTACACAGATATTGGTTGTTGCAGTTGTACATGCTGTCGCAGCCCAGCTTCTCCACGCTCCCGTCTGCGAATCGTTCCCACCTGTAGAAGTGCATGTAATACCCACACCGAAACAGAAGTCCGTAGCAGACATAAGGCCAGTCCGTTGCACCGAGTGCCTCATCCAACGGATCTACGTGAGAATACAGCGAGACGCTGGAGATGACAGCGATGATCTCGCCCCTCTTGGACACTCCCTTACCTTGCTGCTCAACACCGCTAAGAAAACAAATAAGGATTCTCTGAAAGCAAATCAGAGAGCTCACTCACCTGTACTCCCTGACTTTGGATAAGTAGCGCTCCAGAAATGTTCTTGGCTCCTTCTGGCTGTTAAGGTAAACGTCCTCGAGGCCCATTCCTTTGATGCTCCATTTCTCCTTCTCAACACCGCATCGCCGCCTCTTGACTATCTCATCGATATCTAGCAGCGCTACACGAACTGACCCCATCCCTCACAAGCCCTTACCCTAGGATTTTGCGGACACAAAATATTAAAAAAGCAATCGTGAGTCCAGAAGATATAATTGTGGTAAAATGCACACATATATTTTTCAATTTTTCAACTGCATAAAAAATTAAACATATTTATGAAGATGTGTTTAACCCAATGAGGTTTTGCACAAGCCTTACTCCCAGTAAGGAATCTTATCTGGATTGGCATGATCATTTAAACAACAATCCATACTGCATTATTATGGGTATACAACCATTAAAATTTTAAGATTTTTTTCAGAATAAGAGTTATGTTAAAAATGTGTAAATATTGGGAAAAAAAATACTTGAAGTTATGTCAAAACCATTAAGTTTACATAACAAAAAACATATAGGAATAAAGAAATGATTATTTGACTAAATTACTATCTTCTCTGCCTGGATCTAGAATTTAAATTTTGACTCAATTAACACTTAAATAGTGGTGGTATTATAATTTTATTGCAATACTAAGTTGGTGGATTACAAATCCAAGATAAATGGTATAATGTAAGATGTAACCCAAATGCATTTATTGTTAATATAATTGAGGTAAATAATATATATATATATATATATTATTTTAAACTTTATTGTTTTGAGAGCTTATGAAAAATGGAGTGTTATTCACAAAACTATTATGAATTATAATTTATATATAATGTCAATAGTATTATTTTTCAATTCTTGTGCTCACACAACAATTACTCCCATCTAAGATCTTTTAAACAAATAAACTTAGCACAATATAAAGTTTGGTTATCAAAAGATTTAGATCAAAATATATTTGTATTAAATATATTAAAGGAAAAAATATGAAGAGAGAAGATTAAAAGAATATAATTGAAATTTACTAGTTAATTAAGATATTTACATGTTATTTAACTATAAAATAAAAGAAAATAAATACTATTAAACTTTTATAAAGCTTCATTTCTAGAGTGTAATTTTCATTAAATTAAATAGGCAAATGCACAAATATATTTTTATACTTTATTAAAAAATTATTATAAATTTTAATTATTATTATTTAATTAAAATTAACATTTTCAAAAAATTTAAAAATATTAAAATATAAATATTCAAGAGAAAGATCTATTATGGTTCAAAGATAAAAGAAATGGCTCAGAAATAAGAGTTTTAAGTGCACCTTATTCTCAATTGGTTAATAGTTTTCAGATATTCAGGTATAAATGTCTTTAATTTTAATAACACTAGCCTTGATCATTTGAGAAGCTCAAATTATTGTTTAAAGCTTCCATTTGATGTCTAGGGTGGATGGTTTTTCAAAATGTCCAAATTAAAGAGGTTACATCTGATTTAAAAGGAGTTTCAAAGTAAACTCAATTGATTAAAACTAATATATGATAATTTAATTTTCTCTCACTTTGGACAGATTTGGATGATTAGATAGCATTATATATTGAGATTTGCATTTAGTAAACTAATTTATTTTAGAGTGTTAAGAAAGTGCTTTTGGGAGAGCTATAGCTTATAACTTTCATTCATGAAAGAGTGAATTTGCAAGGAAGTGAAAAAATTGTAAGCAACTAAATAAAATAGCTTTGAAAGATATCTATTAGGATTAAAAAATAGAGAGTATAAATAAATTATATATTAAATGTTATATAGACATGTATATTATTTAGAAAGAAAAGTATAGGGATTACTTTGAAAAAGAAAAATCCTTTATAAATAGTCTTTTAAGGTTAGAATTCATTAGTTCATTTTTTAGTTATATTAGACTTTTATTGCTAAAATTTTTAAATAAATATCCAGAAGATTGTAGCTATCATAAAAGAACCAAATTTATCAATTATGCTTGTTCCAAGCTGTATAGTAGTAAATAAATATTAATTTTTAAATTATTGACACTAATCTAATAGAAATCGAAAGCCCATTATGTTTTTAATAATGGGATGTCATCATCATCCCCTCTTCTCAGAAGAATAAAAGGTAATTAATATTATCATATTAATAAGATACGATTTAAAAGAACATCATGAGGTGGCATCAGTAAATCCATAGACAATGCAATTTATTCATGAACCATTTGTATGAAGCATTTCAATTGTTGCACATGCATAATTTCTAGAGAATTAATTTGTTAAATGTTATACCAACTCTCATAAACTTACAATCCAATTTGTTAGAACACTTAATATAATGTATCATAAGATTGGAAAAATAAACAAACACCAAAGCCCCCACTTTATACTCTATAGGAAAGTTGTAACACCATTGTTGTCATATTTGTATGCAACCCAAATATTCAACAAATTTCATTTGAACTAGTGGAAGAATGTTTATAAAATATTGATCCTAGGATCTAGCATTAACAACTTGTGTGGAAGTTGTGAAGGTAAACTCAGCTTTAAAAACAATATAAAATTATAATAATGTAAGAGTTTTTATGGTAAAACATTAATATAACTATACACCCCTATGATATATACATATAAGAAAAATATCAAATGACTATTTCAATTTGAATGTTAAATATTCATTTTATGATCATCCCTTTGAAGGTTTATACAAACTATTCCATTAAACCATTTATTTGTGGATGAGAAGCACTTGCAAAAGAGTGTAGTGTATCCTTAATCAAAATGTCAAAATGTGAAATGCCTTAATTATAAACACAAAACCATTATTTGAGAGAATTTACTCCAAACATATCACATCTTTAACCAATAGAAAAAGTTGTGCAATTTCAATGATGTCTTATATACACACTTAAAATAAGAAAGTCATGGTAAGCATATTGAATAAAGATTGAAGGCACTAATTGCAAGTGATCATTAAGATTAGTCTTCACAAAGTAAAAAAAAACTGTTCTTAAGATGATATAAAAAGTGTAAATGCCAAAACAACAAATCATTAATAAGTAATAAAAAATTCTCAAAATCATCATGAAATTTTCAGATCTTAACCTTTTGAGTTTTATAAACCCCATCCATAGAAAGCAAATTTAGTTTTCATCTTATAGATATTAGACATCAAGCACAACAAACATCAACATCATGAAATTCTCATTTAGAAAGTCTAAAACTCATTGAGTGATGAATAATTTTGAAGCTATATATCTAAAACTTTAGGGACCATTTAATAATATCACTAACTAAGTTCTTCTACTTTAATAATAAAGTGATTGCAACATAATCTTTAACAATGTTTGAGAACCATGCACACTAAGCTTCTTGAAACCTTAGATTACTATTATACACTTCTACTCTATCATGAAGTAGTTCACTTTTATTAATTATAATATACAATTGATAGATATTGATTAAGCACACTTATGCTCTTTTGCATTAACACACCTTTAAAACTAATATTAAAAGCATCCATGCATAATTAGTATATAATTAAACTCGAGGAGTTATCAACACTTCTTTGAAATTTGCAAATGCCTATTTGCAGTCCTCAAATGAAATGAAAAACAATATTGATAATTTCAACAATGCTCATAATGGTGTAGTACAATCAGAAAGATATTTATATTTATAAACTAATTAATAAATAATACTAAACATAATAACACTCATGCAATCATGAAAATAAATTTAAAAAAATGCTTAAAATCTCAGATGAGATCGATCTATCTTTTCTCCTTCATGATGGGATCACCCAATCATCCACTTTGTTCCTCCAATCCTTGAGTTGGATCTGGGCATGGCTTTGTTCGCCAGTAAATCCCAGCAAGTGCAACAACTAGAGCAGCCATGGATCCTACAACTATACCAATTTTCTCGCCAATCCTAGAATGCTTTCCCAAAGAAGTTGCAGTGACGTTATTGCTAGAACAATTTGCTCCGCAACATATAAAGTCAGAACTCTTGTCTTGGATAGATTGCAGTGAACCAGCAAAATCACACCCTGTGGTTGCCTCTAGAATCTGTGAAACAAAGGATTAATTAAAATCATTCTCTGGAAGATTGTCAAAGCTTACTGGGTGAGAGGTGAGAGGCTTTTGCTCTAGAGATGGACCCGGGCTTCTCTTAGACACAGCCTCTTGAACGACTGCTAGACCCAAGCTGTTGATGAGATTGTTGGTGACAATATCGACGCAGGCAACTCCGACCAATTGTTGGATGGCATCAAAAGCTTGAATTCAAAGTTAGAAAACCTGGAAACACTGCTTTCTTGGTTTTCTTTTAACCTGGCAAGATCGAGCTTGTAACATTGCGACCACCTGAATCAGCATACAATTGTTGAGGCTGAATTGCATTCTCTGGAAAGTTTCATTCATACAATGGCACCCACACTGGCTTTCTGTTAACACTGCTGAAACGGAGCCAAGCTAAATAGTCCAAGTAGCTGCATATCTTCATGAGAGGATTGGTTCATCTTTGCTGCTTTATAGCTTATGTTGAGGCTGAATTGCATTCTCTGGAAAGTTTCATCATTGGAAATGTCGAAACCAATCCTGTACACAAAAGTACCACAATGTTTTCTCGTTAAGCTGCTTGAAGATTGGATCCAAATCCGTCAGGTTGACATGGTTGGCAAATCGGCCATCTGTTAAGAGGGGAAAACTGGATTAACCAGCTATAAAATAAACAGGTTCATGATTAACATTTACTTATAAAGATCATATATAATTACCTACAAAAATCCCCATTCGTCATATCTTCTACTGTGGTCTTACTTTGTAAATCAACATCTGGAAGATTAATTCCTTCAAAAACTTTTTGTGGATTATTGTCGCTTTTCCAATGGTTTTATATATGCACTAGAGAGAGATAAAACATTATGATCAACTAACTCTCTTACACCTTTATAAGTTGGATCACAAGTGTCATGACAAATCCTTAAAATGTACACAAAACATCAAAAATTTATAAAGATATTGTGAACTTCTATCTCTTCTCTTGCTCTTTAAGTATATTTGTGAAAGACCTAGCCCAATCTTATCTAGAAGGCACTGCACTTTCTATCTTCAAGGTTCTACTCTTGTTTTTGAAATCCCTAAAACCTCTCTATTGAAGATATGTCATTCTTGTTTTTGGAATCATTGTAAAAAAGAAATATAAAACTTTTCATTTTCAAAGACAATCTTCAATAAAACAGAACATTTTTTTCAAATGTTGCTGCCTGCAACACAACTTGACAACTTCACTCTAGTCCAATTTAAAGTCAATCTAACAAGCATTATTAGATTTTTAACTTCAGGACCTCCATACTACGTGTAGTTTCTTTGTAGGCTGGATGGAAGCATCACAACTTAGCCGTGTCAAGGATAGATAGCTCGACCAAACCGATATTTCTTCAATCTACGTCTAGGAATTCCAAAGTAATCTCGAAAAGAATACGAGCCACCAGGAAGGCGCGAAGAGAATCTTCTCGTGATAGCTGAAATTAGGGTTTATATGAAAGCGTAAGTACCCCGGACTCCATGGTGCGGTTGTGGCCGGCGCAGTGAGCTTTCAAATCAATCGATTCACTGAACACTCTTCTGTTGATCAACCAAACTGATGAAGCGCGCCACCCCAATCTCCAATGCAGCATGGAGATTGCAAGTCAGGGGATTCATTTGGGACTGGTGCCGCCTCTGCCGTGGCGACCTCTTTGCGTGCTTGCAATCAGTGCTCTTGCAATAGCCTTGCACTTCGGCCTATGGGTATAGAATTGTTTTGCTTAGATCGAGAGGGTTGCAATTCAATATCCAGGTATGGTCACTGGATCACCGCATAGCCTCCTCTTTGTTTCGATGCCTCTGGTCATCATCGCTGTTCTATGGCTGCGCTGCAAGCCCCTGAGCAAAGGAGAGAACGTCAGGGTGTTCTTGGGTTTCGCTGAGCATCGCATTTGCTAGCAAGTCCGATGGTGACAAAGGCATCACTTTCCTGGGGGATTTGATGGCTTTCCTGGCGGCTGTTGCGTTTATGGGCTACATGTTTGCTGGGAACAATCTGATAAGTGAAGCTCTAGACTTATCGTTCTCTTTTTCTTTGCAAACTTGGATGAACTGTTGGATTTCATTGTTTCTGTGGGTATTGTTTGTTATCTCTATGCCTTCCCTGTAACGGCTGGAGGAGCTCTCATTCTGGGTCGCTTGTGAGTTTATGGAGAACTACCATTCCAGATCCTGGAAGATTGGTGGACCTTTTGCATGGACAAAGCGAGGTTAAAGGATATAGTTACTTAAAATTGACAAAGGAGTTACTTGCAGATTTTTTGGGCTCCAACGCTTTTTTTTGGCAATCGGCCCAAGTCACATGTTGTCAAGTACAAGGGGCCTTTGATCATTTCTATGGTTGTCACACTAGAACCTGTGATCGGATCTCTCATCGGCTGGGCGATTCACGCCTGGTACAAGCAAAGTAATTGCAAAATCTATAAAGCAACTAAGACAGGTTTATTGCTTTCCTCTGCTGCAACTTGAAAGATCTTCATCTGGATAAATGCAAACTTATCAATGACGATGCCATTACAGCTCCGCGATCGATGAGCTCCCTTCGAGTGCTCAACCTTGCAAGCTGTCCAATCTCTGGCGCAACACTAGAGACGATCTAGCGAGTAAGTTTTTGGGGTTTTCTCGTACCTATACCAAACGGTTTCTTCTTTCCAGGAACAAGTATCAAGGTGATGTGTGTTAGTATTCCAGGAACACTGTTCAAGCAGACTTATCCAAGGCTTCCACATATACGATTGGTAAATTACATCTACCGAGGTATGGCTACAATAACATTTTTATTTCTATAGTATTTCTTTGCCCCCGTGTTATCACGTGAATATTAGTTGGGAGCGCCTATACTCACATATAAGCCTTTTCAGAGATTTTGCATTTGCGCTTACAGCCATCTTGATTGATAAGCAAGTACAATAACTATCGACTGGTTCGCAAGCGCTGGAAAATCGTCGCAAAGATTCTTCTCTCAAGGTACGATGCTTCTTCCATATCGCTTTTAGCGCTCTGAAATGGATTTGTTTCTATCTTACCAGCTTGCTCAACGGCTCACGAGTCTTTACCATAGCCTCTTCTATTAGTTGAGTGTGATCTCTCGAGAATTCCATAGCTTCACCATTGGAAACGGTGGCGAAAGCTTGACAACCGTATACTCTTTCGACTTGACAGTAGAGAAAGAAGATCTAGCTCAAGAGGTCGTAGTCATCCAGGCGATCGTTGTACTGGAGCACCTTCCTCTTGATCTTGGAAGTGTCAACCCATGTCACAAAGTCTTCCATGTTTCTCGTCACCAGGAACGCTGGATCTGTGATTGTGTCTGGTCCTACTCTAATGTCTGTGAGATCATCACTGTCAAGGGAAAAAAAAGTTTGATTTTGCTCGTAAAGAAGAAAAGGATACGCCCTTGCTCCACGAAAGTCACAGCGTCCTTGAGATTCTCGGCAAAGTGGAGCTTCATTAGCACCACTGCCAATCTCCTCCTGAGAGAAAACGAGAGGATCAAAAAGTTCTATCTCAGTCCGGATGGAAGATGGAATTTTTACCTGCAAATCGCTGAAGAAGCGAGACTCTCGCACTGAGCCAAGCTCTTTTTGGTCGGGATGATTCCCATGTTATACCTGGAAGAGCTCTACTCTAAGCAGCGAGAAAAAAGAAAGAAAAGTTTTGCTCTTACAATTTGTCTAGCAGCTGATCCGTCATTTGTATCCGGAATGGATCTTTGGGATCGAGCTTCTTGAGAATGCTGGTGAGCTTGGAAACCATTCCACAGATCCTGTTATAGCTGGAAAACCAGGGAATCGAATCAGCGCTCGCGAGAAAACTATGGTGTTACTCACTGCTTGTAATCGTCGCGGCCGGTGACTCGGTAGCGCTGCATCACCTGGACCTCCCGCGAGTTCCTCTCGCGCTTCCATTCCAAGAAATTCACCTTCTTAAGCAGCCGCTGCTCGTGAAATTTGAGCTTCCTCATCGCGCTCTCAAGAACCCTAACAAAACCCTAGCCCTAATTCTTGGAGGGGGTGCGATCGAGGTGAGAGTGGATGATATCTCCTGTCTCTAGCTTGCGAGTCTCTCGATTCAAAGGCGCTGGCTCCTTTCTCGGCCGCTTGCGCGGCATTAGAAAGACACATTCCTGGGGCTCCGACGAGGAACTGGCAATGGAGGTCGATGTGGACGATGAATCCCTGGAAATGCCGGAGCTAGACGCGCAGCAGCTAGATTTTCCACCTCCGGGGCGCAGGAATCCAAGGAAGCAATCCGGGAAGAAGTCTCTCTCCAAATCCAAGATGAAAAAGCTGCTCAAGCAAGAGCTCGAGAAGGAGAGAAAGTCCAACGTTTTCCACTCTTTCTCGGCCTTCTACGAAGAACAGTATGGAAGCGCGCGGTGGAGCTCTCTGATGGCGTGCCTCCTGTCAAAGCCCCGCGTTGCATGCCTCGTTAACAAGTACTGCAACGAGTCCAGCGTTCCTCCATCGACAAATTCCACTCGAGTTCCATTCCTCAAGCTTCCGGTCTACGAATCCAGCGCGCTCTTCCCTCATCCCGAGCGTGACACCCACAACGTCTTCGACTACTACCTCATGGATGCCGCGTCTGTGCTCGTCACCGAGGCTCTGGATCTCGAGGTGGGCGACAAAGTCTTGGATTTGTGTGCTGCTCCCGGAGGAAAAACTCTGGGAATTCTGCAGCAGCTGGATCTCCTCCAAGGCGCGCTGGTAGCAAACGAGCCATCGCCAACAAGGAGCAAGCGACTGTCGAAGGTACACACTGCATGTTTTTGTTTTTGTTCTTCCACTTTGTTTGCTTTGAACTGATCAAAGTCTCAGCTTTGCAGGTCATCTCCGAGTACGTGCCGGCAAATCTACGGACTTCCATTCGCGTCACCCGTCGCAATGGTATCAAATGGATGGAGCATGATCTCTATGACAAGGTGCACCGTTTTCTCACGCTAGCTGGGAATATGATCAACGTGTTCACGGGGTATTTGTTTGTAGGTGCTGGTGGACGCACCTTGTTCCTCCGAGCGACACTTGCTACACGACCCAAAGGAGCTCGGGACATGGACGCCCCGACGCACGGAGAATTGCGCAAAGCGGCAGCTCGCGCTCTTGTTTGCGGCTCTGCGAGCTGCCAAGCTCTATGGTAGGATTGTCTACTCGACGTGCTCCCTAAGTCAGCTAGAGAATGACAGTGTGATCTCAAAGGTGAGCACTGAGGCCATTGTTTATACTTTTTTCTCGTTGTTCCAGCTTTAACCTTTGGCTTGACAGGCACTAGAGAAAGGCAAGCTTGACTTCGAGATCATCCAAAAGCAGTGGCCGGTGGGAGAAAGGACGGAGCACGGCTGGATCATTCTCCCTGACGTTTCTCAAGGATGGGGTCCAATCTACATTGCGGTGCTCAAGAAGCTTAGCACGAAGCCGGAACTTTTCGAGGAGTGTGTCGAGGATCTAGAAGAGCTCCAAGACACCGACGGGGAGCCACTGCTGCTATTGCCAGGACCAGAGAGCTAGCTAGCTAGCTCATCACAAGCCGTAAGTAGAGTTCCACAAAACTTCTGCTTCTTGTCAACGGAACACTCTCAAACTTTGGTGAGCAAAGCTTGATTTGATAGCAGCGAAGACTTTAAGATTCTTAACTTCCAGGATCTTTCTGCTCCTCCGCCGGCTTTCGATTCCATCAGGAATCATCAGAGTTCGCTGTGCAACGATCACGCGCTCAAAAGCGTCAAACCCGTGACAAAGGGAAGACAAAGAGGAGAGAAAACTGTTGTTTGGAGCTCTCCTCTTCGCTGAAAAGGAGATCAAACGACCTCTCTTTGTCAAAGTAAGTCGGGAATAATCTTCCATCACATCATCTTGCTGACCACTAAACTTTAGAACATTTTTGTAGCTTTGCGCCATAGCCACAGCGATTTGCAAGCACACAGCGCTCGAAAGGCCAAGAGGAAAAAAAAATTAACGTGGCTACGAAGTGGAGGGTCTCCATCTCCATTTGCTGATCGCCCACTATTGGCGACTGTGCCACGCGTCAGCCCAGCAAGGGTGTGCTCACATGGGCCAACCACATGGCTCCACGTAGTCCCTTGGACGGCCGGCAGTGGGCCAGCAAGCGCCGACATGTCATGCAGCGGTCCGGTAGCCAGGACCTCGTCCGGCGAATAATCAGGGCAAGTGACGTGGCGGGCTGTGGGCCGCAGGATTAGATTCGAGCCCTCTCTGCCGTTAAGAGGATTAAAAGAAAGAGATTTGATGCTCCAGAGCATAGATTTTGAGGCTTGGGCGAGGTCCACTCTAGGGTTTTGGGATTCGAGCACACGAATGGGGGCGAGCCAGGAGGCGCCTGGCGATGGAGCAGTGGAGATCGCGGTCAGGCTGATGCTGGTGAGAGAGAGATAATCTTCCCTTCGACAGCAGGCTTTCGTCGTTTCCATTGCGTGTCTGGGATTTGCCCCGAATTGCGGCTTGTTTGCTTGCGTCCATCGCTCGTAGCTTTCGTACTGATCGAAATACCGATGTGTGTGGTGTTGGCGCAGATGAGCAGTCCTAGTCCTACGTGAGCGGGTGTTGCGCCGAAAAACAATGTTTCTCTCCTCGTCGACGGATTTGCTGGAACGTAGATCGAAGAAGAGGCAGGATTTCAGCTTCTTGAAGGGATCGGCGGGGGGATCCGTCATGCCGGCTGATGACGAAGATGACAGTGGCAATGCGGCGAATGTGGGAAACGGTGACAGGCCAGAGCTTCTCCTGGACGGCACTAGCGACGAGAAAGCTCTCCCAAACGGGGATCGCTATGTAGGGGCTCTGGTAGGAAACCTTCCAGAGGGGAGAGGGAAGTACATATGGGCGAACGGCTCCTGGTACGAGGGGCAGTGGGAGAAAGGGAAGAAGTCGGGTCGTGGGAAGTTCGTGTGGCCGTCCGGGGCGTTCTACGAGGGGGAGTTTGCCGGGGGATTCATGCAAGGTCTCGGGAACTTTCGAGCTCCCAATGGTGCCGTCTACAAGGGGAACTGGAGCATGAACTTGAAGCATGGTCTCGGACGGCTCCGCTATGCCAACGGTGACAAGTATGAGGGCGCCTGGAAGCACGGCTTGCAAGATGGTTTCGGGAAGTACGTGTGGACGAACAAGAACGTCTACGTTGGGGACTGGAAGGCTGGTGTGATGACGGGAAAGGGAGTTCTAAGGTGGGGGATGGGCGATGCCTTCAATGGGGAGTGGCTGAATGGGATGGAGCATGGCCGTGGAGTTTACTACTGGGCGGATGGAAGTATTTTCGTGGGAACCTGGAGCCGGGGACTGAAAGACGGCAAGGGAGTTTTCTATCCCGCTGGGACGCTGCCGTTGGACATGAGCACGCGAGAGAACCTCATGCTCAACAAAGTGGAGGAGTATCTCGCAACCGGGATTGCCAAGGACTGGACGTCGGTGGGATCGTGGAAGAATGGGAGGAGGGAGCTGGATTCGAGGTTCATTACGAGCAGTGGCTCGGGAAATCTGGATCAGCAGATCAAGAAGAATGTGTGGCTGGGCAGACGGTGGAGTTTAGAAGGGCCTTTGGAAAGGGTGCTGGGCCTCGAGTCGTTCTTCATAGGCGGGGAAGCGATCTTAGAGGAAGAGAAAGATGACGTTCCGGAAGTTGCTCCCATTCTGGAGAGGGAGTACGCGCAAGGTGTTCTTATCAATGAGATTGTGAAGCAGCCGATAGGAAGTGTGTTGTCAAAGAGCTCCAGGAGAAAACGCCGACGCCAACCAAGGGAGCCGAAAAGACCGGGTGAAACGATCTTCAAAGGACACAGAAGTTATGATCTCATGCTTACTTTGCAAATAGGCATCAGGTAATGCGGCTGGATTTTCTGTGCTTGTTCATACGATCTTAAGTTTTAGTTTTGCTTGTCAGGTACACGGTTGGAAAGGTAACTCCAGAGCCATGTAACAACATCGGTCCTCTGGATTTTGGCTCAAAGGCTTCCGTGAGAATGAAGTTTCCAAAGATGGGATCACAAGTAACTCCTTGTCATAGAACGGTCGATTTCGCGTGGAAGGACTACTGTCCAAGAGTTTTCAAGTAAGCAGATGCATTGCTGATGTTTGATCTAGCCTGCTCTGTTTCTAAATTTTGCAGACGATTGCGGGAAATGTTTAAGATCGATGCAGCCGACTACATGCTCTCTATCTGCGGTAATTCTGCACTAAGAGAGCTTCCATCCCCGGGAAAGAGTGGCAGCGTGTTCTTTTTGTCCAACGACGATCGTTTTATGATCAAGACTATGCGCAAGTCAGAAGTGAAGGTACATACGTAGCTAGCTGGCTCTCTTTTATCAGTTTTTCTTGTCTTCGACAGGTGTTGCTGAGAATGCTTCGAAGCTATTACAATCACGTAAGCTCGTACGACAATACATTGATTACAAAGTTTTTCGGCCTGCATCGTGTGAAGCCTCAGGGTGGGCAGAAGGTAGTTGTCAGAAAGTGATTTGACATGGAGCAATTTCAACGTATTTGTTACAGGTCCGGTTCGTAGTCATGGGTAACATGTTTTGCACGGACTTGAGGATACACCGCCGATATGATTTGAAAGGATCGCTTCAAGGACGTTGCACTGGCGAGGCCGACATCGATGAGAACACCACGTTGAAAGACTTGGATTTGGACTACGTCTTCCATCTGGAACCAAGTTGGCGCGACGCTTTGATAAAGTAAGTTTCTTTCTCATTCTTCATGGGAGTTCGTTCTGACATTTTCCTTAAACTGATGAAGGCAGATAGCCTCTGATTGCAAGTTCCTCGAGTCTCAACATATAATGGATTACAGCCTCCTGTTGGGGCTTCACTTTCGAGCGCCACACTTTTATCAACCTTCCAAAGGAACCATTCCCGATGGTGGTAAGAGCAAAGCTTGCTTTACGATAGTCTAAGCCGTGTTTTCCAGAGGAGGAGTGGACGCCTGCTAGGAGTCTAGTACTTGTTCCACGGGATCAAGGAAAGAGAACCATGAGCTCCCACATACGAGGAAAGCCTCTTACGGCCGCTGGAATCGCCGAAGCCGATGACAATGCAGAGGTTGATTTGCTTCTGCCAGGAACTGCTCGGTAAGAGTATCCCTGCAAGTTTGGATTTCGATCTTGACAACCATGGAGTTGATTCCTCGCAGGCTGCAAATCCAGCTGGGAGTAAACATGCCCGCTCGAGCCGATCGAAAGCCTCGAAAAAAGGAGGAGAGCAACGACGAGGAAGAATCGCTGGACGAGGTGCACGACGTGGTTCTCTACCTGGGCGTGATTGACATCCTCCAGGAATACGACGTGGGCAAGAGGATCGAGCACGCGTACAAATCGCTCCAGTTTGATCCAGTGTCGATATCAGCGATCGAGCCCGCTAGTTACTCACAGCGCTTCCAAGACTTTCTTTGTAAGATATTTCCAAGCAACGATTCGAATGGCTAGTTAGGGTTCTCCGTTTACTGAGAATTAGGGTTCTTCGTTTGTAATAGGGGCGGGATGGGCGCGACAGAGCGATGGATGGCGCAAAAGAGATGTGAGTCGCTCCACAATCCCTATTTTCTCTCTCGCTCTCGCACATTTCCATCGCAATCACGCCAGTTAGTGCTCTGCGCATCGAGTTTTGTTTCTTTCGCTTCCATTTTTATTTTATTTTGTGCTTTCTTTTCATGTTGATGGAGGTCAGATCAAGATTGTAGGGCACAGCTGACAGAGGGAAATAAAAAAGAGAGAATGAACGCGCATGCTTCGTCTTCTACCACTTGCTCGATTCATCCATCCATCCATCCTCGTCCCTTTTTCTTTTTTCTTTTTTTTTTCCTCTTTTTATTAGGCGCGTTCTTAAGCACATATGCCAACATTTCTCTTTTTACTTTGTAGCTAGTCTCTTTTGTTTCGCAAATATCTTCCCTCTGCGGCCTCTGGCACAAGTTATCCCAAAGGTTTTGAGTCTACTTTCTTTGTTTTGTTTCTTCTCCTTTTTTTTTCTTTCTTGTTCCTGGCTGGCCGCTGGCATGAACTGTGAATCGACGGATTCTTGCTTTAAAGCTCATTGCCAAGTGCCAGAGACGCCACCCTCTCGAATCATATTAACCCAGATCCATGAGCACGAAGTAGCGAAGCATGATTTGGTTAACTTGGTGGAATTGATTACAATGGAGCCTTTTGCAGATTCCAGATGGCTACGCGTGAGCCTCCAAGTAGACAGTGAGACGGGACGCTGCAAGTTTGTCTCTTATATATCCAATGCGCGCCCTTTACAGTGGCTGACTTACAAACCATGCAACTTTGCGAATGGGAGGAGGGAAATATCATCAATGATCGCTCGAGCTTTTGAGCTCGGCGTCATGGTTAGCTGCCGTGTCACTTCACAGCGAGCTGTGCATACCGGAGTCCTCACTGTTGTTTGAGGTATCAAGGTTCAAGCATCCCCATCAGGAATGGCTGCTTGTGTCAATTCTTCCTAAGGCTGAGAGGAGAAGGACTTGGTTTCAAGCAGCGACTTCCATCGTTCAATGTTGTGAGGCTCTTCCTCCTCCTTTCAAGGATGAGCAGCTCCAAGCAAGCACAGGTGGTATACTATCTGTGCAGGAAGGGGTCTTTGGAGCAGCCACACTTGATAGATGTTGGATTCACGCAAGAGAATGAGCTGCTTCTCAGCGGTAAGTGCTTTCTTTACTATTCAAGATGCTCTGCGTGGTCTGAACTGAATGTGTTTCTATCTTTTCTCTTCAGATGTGAAGCGAAGTCTTGTTGCTATCCGCGGTAGGGGCATGCCGGATTTGTTCTCTTGGTCCTACAAAACGTACGGGTCTTATTCTCGGAGTTCCTGTTCTTGCATTTTTCTAATGCTCGCGCTCGTGTTTCATTTCTTTTCTTTTTTGTTCTTTGTCAAACAACAGGAAGTACAAGAATGACTTCATCTGGCACGATGTCTCCGATAATGATGTGGTTCTTCCTATGAACGATGCCGACTACATTTTGAAAGGATCTGAGATTGTTGATGGAGGTAAATAGAAAAAAGAATAGACTTTCATAGTCTCTTCTCTTCTTGATTTTTTATGACTCGATTTTTCAATGCAGAATGCGAGCATTGTCCACATGACTCTGATAGCGAGATTCAGTGCAAACTAATGCTCAAAGAACACGCCTGTCTCGCCAAGTCTCCTGTTCATCGAGCCTTTCCTCTGGAAGAATGCGTTATCCAGACCACAAATCATCCTACAGCCGACACCAGTGCCAGGAACAGCAACGAGCTCAAGCTGTGCAAGCAGAGGTCAAATTTGGATCATGGTAACAGTATTACAACTCAAACAGATGACGAAGAACTCCCAGTCCGAGCTCCAAAGCACGAATGCTGCCAATGCCGAGGAGAGAAGCCTCTTCCAAATCCACCACCGCTTGCTTCAAGTAAGGAAGTACCTCCTGCGAGCTGTGCCGACAAGACCCCTCAACGAAAAGCAATCACTGTTTTTGGAGGGATTGAGTCGGGTTTTAAGGACGACAGTGGAAGAACAAAAAAGGTCGGTGGATCGTCGCTTATATTCAGGCAAATGCTCCCCTGTGCCGACATTGGGACCAGAGCTCAGCAAAATGGGTTTACCGGGCAGAAGCAGGATTTGGCTGCTGTTTCCAAGGAGAATGGGAGCTGGAAGCAAAGCTGTAAAGTCTGGAAGAAGAATGGAGGACGCTTGTCTCCACTTTTGGACAGGGGAACAAAGATAGTGTCGGACGGTCGGCACAGCTATGACTCCAAGCAACACTCTCTTCTTCCCGGCACACCGACAAGCAAGTATCAAGATTTCCAGAGCCAGCGCTACAGTACGCTTACTCGGTATAGACCTCGGCATTCTTTTTCTAACAGGTAAGTTGTGACTGGTGCTCTTTGTAACTTGAGATGGTCTAATCGCTTTTGGTTTCTTTCAGTGACTACTTTGATTCTTACGACTTGTTTACGAGGCCCGAGAAAGTTAAGGAGGTGGACGCGAGACCATCCAACGCATCCAGGGTCAGCCTCGAGTCGCTCTACGAGGTTGATTGCAGGGCCAAGACTTTCGACTGTGTTGTGGATCAGCAAGCGAGAGGATCTCCGGCCGCTGGGAAATGCGGCGATGACAACTCCATCCCGTCGGTTGGCAACCATATCATCTCGAAGCTCGTCCTGGAGGCCAAAGCCAACGAGGAGAAGGATAAAGTCTGGTGGGAGGGGATTCGATCCACGCCGAGAAGAGAGAACAGGGCCAACGACGAAAGGTAAGATATTTCTTTCGGCTTTTTGGCTCTTTTGGTTTTTAGATCTTTGTTTCTTCTCTCTTTTCCAGGATGCGTAAGAACAAACTCGATTGGGAAAAGAACTTACAGGACGCAGTGAACATGATCATACGACCTCCACAATAACAGTGATAGGTGACCATCCTCCTCTCTTTTTTCCTTCTTCTTCCACTCCATTCCAAAAGCTCTCGCTTCGTTTTGGTTTTGATACGTCTGGGTTCCCCTCTAGCACTCTAGAAGCTGAACTGGCAATTGAAAATACAGATGTTGGCTTCTAGACTGCTAGAGGAGCATCAGCGAGAACAAAAAAATAGCTTACTAGTTTAATGTATGATCTTCTATACAATGGAATCGTACAAGAAGAACAAGACACGTAAGATGCCCAGTCCAAGACATGACAAAGGAGTGGTGTTAGGCCGTGATGGTTTTGTGTTTTTCGAGAAATGGGATCTCTCTGGATCGATCACGATGCCGCCGAGAAAACTCGAAAGGATTTTGTCAATCTCTTGGCGAGCAGGCACAAGGATCCAGGTTTTTCCAAGAATCTCCTCTTTGGGTCTTTGATAGTACCTCTCTTTTCTCCAGGGCCGCTGGTGGCTAGATCATGCAAGATTGTTTCACAGGAAACTGTCCAGCAATTCGATATTCCTATGGTAGAGTTCTCTTCTCGTTGGATTTTTCTCACATCTTTGATAGCTACGATTATCTCGGGAAGAACTCGACCAACTGGAAGAGGAGCGCCTTGTTCTTGTGACAGAGGTAAGGCATTGTACACGATTTTTCTTCCACCCCGATTCATCGATAGGAATTTTGGTAAAGGTTGGAGATCAAGGCCAGCTTCCAGTTTTGATCATCAGAAGGAAAAATGGAGCAACGCCAAGTCCTGCTCTTGTCATACTCCACAGCTCATACAGTTGCAAGGATTCCATAAGAAATGTGGTGGAGGTATGTGCTATTTTTCTTTGCTTCTCGAGAGATTTTTTTGGCCAGTATTTTGCTTTCCATGGTTTTACTGCCATCACCATCGATAATCGGTACCACGGAGAGCGAGCATCATCATCTTATCAAAATGTAAGTTTGTTTCTCCATAGTTTCTAAGCAAGTTTAATATCTTTCTCGTTTCTTCTTCGATCATATCCATCGCAGGCTATGATTTCCGCGTGGAAGACAGGCCGAGAGATGCCTTTCATCTTCGATACGGTATGTAAGATTGACTTCGCTATGAACATAGTTTTCTTGATCGATCACACAGGTCTGGGACGTGACCAAGCTGATGGACTACCTCATCCAAAGAAAGGACATCGATTCCACTCGCATAGGAATGACGGGGATTTCGCTCGGTGGTATTTATACAATCTTTTGGAAACCAGCTTCCAAGTTTTAATTCTCTTTCTCTTTTGCATGGGTTTTGTCTGATCACTTTCACAGGAATGATCACTCTGTACTCAATGGCTGCTGACGCTCGAATTGCTTCAGCCGTTCCTATGATTGGTGTTCAGGTTTCCGAAATCTTTGTATTTCTAGTTTTTGTGTTCTCTCTTTCGATTTGATTACCTTATCTCGTGACATGCTTTTGTGTTGTGCCAGAACTTTAGCTGGGCAGTAAAAAATAATAAGTGGCAAGCAAGAGTTGGCAGCATCCCGCACGCCTTTGAAGGTATTCGAGTAGCTTCACAGCAGAAAAGAAAAAAGGAAAAAACTTTGTTGGTTATTCACAAAGGTTTAATTCCTTCTTACCTTTTCCAGTTGCTGCTGGGGACCTCGGCAAAGCTTGCTGTGATTCAGAGACTGTCGCAGCTGTAAGTGCTTTCCCCTCTTTTTTTCTTCAAGGAAAACTCATCTCGATTTGATCACGTAGAACAGGTTTGGCAACGAATAGCTCCCGGCCTGATGCACGAGTTTGATGTCCACCACATTCTTAAAGCGGTGTTTCCTCGCCCCTTGCTCATTCTCAATGGTACGCACTCACAAGTTTCGCAAGAAATCTATGAAGAGAGAATTTGTTTTCATCTCAGGAAAGAATGACCCAAGGTGTCCTGTCGAGGGACTGGAATCTTGCATCCGTGAAACATCCAAGATTTACAAAGCAGCTGGGCATCCCGAAAAGTTTCAGGTTTTGATTGAATATTCTTCTCCAAGATCAAACTGATAAAACGAGAGAATTGAGCTTGGCAGTTCGTGGCGGAGGAGAATGTGGGACACGAGATCACGGAGTCGATGATGGAAGCCGCCATGCGCTGGTTTCGCAACTATCTCTGTATCTCAAAACTTTAGTTCTTGAACTTTCAGCTGACTGTCCACGTGTGCCCTTAACGGTCAACCGCATCCGATTCAGCTGAAAGGGCACACTTCATTCTAGCAACTGTAGAAAAGAAAATGGAGCTCGAAGCTGCAATGGAGCATCTCAAATCCCTCTCCCGCGGCGCAAAGCAGCAGCGAGAGATCGAAGCCAGAAAAGGCGGAGTGTTGATCATCTCCCTGCTCTTCTTCGCCACGCTCTATGCCACGGCCTGGTTCTTCATCTTCCGGAGCTGGAGCAAGCACAAGCGATGCCGTGCGGCGAGCAGCTCAATCTCCTTCGCCCATGCGCTGGTCGGAGCTTCCCTGGCAATGGCGGACATGGTATCGTCGCCCTGGACGCTCGACGCCCCAAACACGGCATTCCAGAACAGGATCATGGAGTGGAGCATGGCCTACTTCATCGTCGACCTCTTTCACTACTTCCTCGCGGTTCCCGAGGATCATCTCTTCATCGCCCACCACTTAGCGACGCTCACGTACATGATCTCTTGCCGCTACTACACTCTCCATGGCGCCAAGTCGGTGATGAGCTTGATCGCGGCGGGGGAAGCCACCACTCCACTCCAGGCGATCTGGACGCTGGCGAGGCTGGCCAAGGACGAGTTCCCAGTCGCGGAGAGGGTCTACACGGCATTGTCTCCGACGTTCACGCTGCTCTTCACGATCGTTCGAGGGATGCTGGGGCCGTTCTTGCTGGGAAAGCTGGCGAGTTTCTATCTCTGGGGTCGTGCCGACACTGTGATCCCTCGATGGCTGGCTTGGTTCTGGGTGTTTGAGGTGAGCTTTGCGGTGGTGGGCAGTATGATTTGGGTGTTTCGGCTGTGGCGAGGACTGTTCAAGCTCAACTCGCAACGCAGTGGATTCTGGAAGAGCGATTGATTGGATCTCGACTCGTAGAAGAGAGTTTGAATGGAAAGGAGAGAATGCTCCTTGGTATCTGAATGTGCGTCAACTTTGAAGAGATAACTAAGTTACTAGGAAGGAAGCTGGACTAAATAAAAGTAAGTCTTCAAAAATGTTTTATTGGGATAAAAAGTGTACCATCTAAAACACACATAAACATATGAGCTATAAGAGAATATGTTAGTTTTCATGAGCTGTGAGCACTCTAAAAGATACAAAAGTTTATTTACATAATGTGTGATGGATTTGTCTTAACTCAGAAGTTTGTGATGCCTTTTTTTTTCAGGCTGAAGCTGCTAGAGTTCGGGCATGGTGATCCCAGTATGAGAAATCAACACATTGTTTTTCATGACTCATAAGATTACTTTTATAAAAAATTCGTGATTCTTTCTTTTTCTATTCTCACAGGAACAAGAAAGAGTAGTGATTCAAGAACAAGAAGCTCTTACTCTTTCTGAAACTATAGATTTACCTTAGTCACTATAAATAAAGAGTTATAATAAACTGGTCAATTATTATAAATCATATGAGGTTATCTTAATTAAATAGAACAAGTTATTTGAATGTAATAGTGATAGAAATAAAAAATGTATGACTATAAATTTTTATTGGAATTTATAATATATATAATTTATTTTTAGAATATTTTTAAAGTTTAAAATTTCAAGCTATTATATTATTATATTTTTCAAGAATTAATTTCAAGGAGAAATTTATAGTTTATAATAATATTTGGAACTGCTGCTTATTATAGACCAATTAAATGATATATCGTTTGATGTTTATCCATAAAAATTCCACACTTTTAAAATAAAAAAGTTTCTCCATTTTGAAAACAATTTGATTCTTTGCCACTTGAGAATCTGCAATACACACCAATTGTTCTTACAATAGAAACAGATAACCTGCTAGTCCCTTTGTTAGAAAGATGGTTCTAACTAGAGCCTTGAGATATTCGACAACTGTTCGCTAGAACATCTCGATCACAGACTGTTGCAAGAGTTGAGTTGAGTTGCAAGCAAACAAAAGGAATTGTGCTTATTGAGCTCAAGAGCAAGATAATTCCATGCCTGCAGTCCCTCCACGTCCATGCAGTAGGAATGTCATGATCTTCTTAATATGCAATATTGAACACCCTATCAGTCACGCGTTCGTTCTTGTGGCTCGGGCGCACTGTTGCTGGGGTGGCGAAATAGTGCTCCATCTCCTTCAGCCTCGCTACCAGCCGGATCATCTCCTCGTCACTCAAGGATGGAGATCTTTGCCTTGTCACCCCACCCACTGCCGCCACCATTGCCACTGCCGCACCGCTTCCAATTTCCCTATCACAGCCACTTCCCAATCCTATCCCGAACAGCGATCTTGCCAGGGCTTGCTCTATCACTACCCGCGGCGCTGAAAACCATGGATGATCCCTTAATTCATCCTCACATTTCCACATTTTAGCCAAGAACGCAGCCAGGGCTTTGCTCAAACACCATCGAGCAAGATCGATACCCAAGGGAGGGAAAATTGTTATCTCTTTGACGGTTCCAAGAGCTCCCAAAGAACACGTTTTCATACTTGGAAATTTCTTTGGCTCAGCCATGCTGTCTCACCACATCATCAATTCCTTTTCGCCACGCGGGCCTCCTCCACGTTGCAAATCAGGAGGAGTTTTATTCAGGAGGCACAATTGGTTCTGCTCTCCCTCACGTCAACTATCTCCCTTGCATATAAGCAACTTGGCATGATCGTTTAGTTCACTCAAGCAAGACTTCTTCAAAATAGAACACTACTTTGAAGTGTTCAAGAGGATCTCTTTTTCGTTCTTTTCCTGGTGTTTTAATGTCCTTGAAGAACAGGGACTTTGAGTAGTTTAATGGTTTAGTTTAGCTCCAGTTTCTATGAAAACTGCCCCCGGCCCCCATCGAGCGCTTTTACTTTTACGAAAAACAACAGGCTTTTCTGCCCGTCCTATACCCACGTTTCACATGCACACGGGCATGTACGCGCAATATAACAACGTATAGACTGTATCATCTCACCATACGAGCAACTAAGAAGATGAGAACTTCATGGCTAGTAGTGTTCTTCGTAGCTTTGGCACTGCAGATCTTGTGGAGCTCGAGAGTGAGTGGATTCTATGGCGATAGCGCTGCGATTGAGTCTGTCAGTCGCCGTGGAGCTCATGTTGGAATTGTCGTTCCAAACATGTACGAGTTTACACCTCTGCTCGAACAAGGAAGATTTGTTGCTGATGCCACGATTCCCTTCATCGATATTGGAGGTTGTTTCATCACACTTTGAGATTTCTCGAGCTTGGAATCTCTTTGTCTCTTTCAGGAAGAAGGTTTCATATCGGAACAATCCATGGAAAGCGTTCCATTGTCGTCATCTCTGGTCTTTCCATGGTTTGCAAGAAGTTATTTCTCCACAGCTTTTCATATGATTTGATCGAATGTCTCGCAGCTCAATGCCGGGATCACGACGCAACAGCTGCTTGACCACTTCCGGATCGACGTTGTCCTTCATTACGGCATCGCAGGAAGCTCCAATCCTTCGCTTCACATCGCGGACGTGAGCATCGCTTCTTCGTGGATTCACACCGGCCTGTGGTACTGGCAGGTTTGTCTCAAATCCGAAACTTTAATAAGATACTCAATCTCAAGAAATCTTCTTATCTTGCAGCGGTATGGTCAAGGTCCCAATGACGAACTTTCTCTGGAGCAAAATGGAGACTACACTCGTTTGCTTGGCAATCTCCACTTTGGATCATACAATGATCCCTCAAATGAAAATTCCGACAACAAGCTGGGACACATCTATTTCCAGCCCGAGGAAGTTTTTCCCATCACTGGCACACCAGAAGTTAGACAACACGCATTCAAAGTTCCAGTCTCAAGAACACTCTATGAAACCGCGCAAAGAGAGCTGATGGTAAGTCTTCTCTAGATCTTCTTCTAACTTCCATTGGTTTTTCTAGAACTTGGAGCTCAAAGCATGCCTCAACTCCAGTTCGTGCTTGAGCTCCGAGCCCAAAGTTCTCTTCGGTCTCACCGGATCCAGCGCAAACGTTTTCCTTGACAACGCTGCTTACCGCACTCTTCTCTACGACAAGTTTGGAATCTCGAGCGTGGACATGGAGTCCGCCGCAGTGGCTCTGGTAGAGTTCTCTATGATCTTCCCCTTGTGGTTTCCAAAATCTCATCTTGATTCTTCCAGACTTGCTACGCGCAAGGCAAACCTTTCATCATCTTTCGCTCCATCTCCGACCTCGCTGGAGGCTCGGATCACTCCAACGAGGCGATCCAATTCATCGACGTCGCGGCCGAGAACGCGGTGATTGCTGTCGTGGAATTCATCCGATCATCCCACGCGACGTTTTAAGCCAAGCTTGTAATCGTTTGAAACAGTGATGAAGTTATATGGTCATGGGAAGAGCTCGTAGTATCATAGAGTTTGTGATCTTCGGTTCTTGACCCCGACAATGTAAGCGTTCCAGGCGTCACACTGGTTGAAGCTCTCGAGTTCTTCGTAGTCTCCTTTATCATCGTTTGTGTTGTCAAGGCCATTCTTTCTCTCGAGCAGCTCGGGCCTCTCGCACAGCCACAAGTGAGTTGAATCGAATCCAGCCTCGTCTAGGCAGTCACGAACCTCTGGAATCGTCCACCTGGGAACACATATAACAAAAAGAAAACACTGATTGAATCGCGAACTTAAGACCGAACTTACAATCGCCAGTGGTACGAAAAGGCGTGACGAAGAACTCTACGCGACTTGGCCAGCTGGAAGTGCAAGCTTATCCTCGTTGTCCTCTTGATAATGTCGAACTCTTCTTGCTCCCAAGTGTACTGGCACAAAGCAAACAAAGTAATGGAATCGCTGCGTTTCTTTAAAGAAAAAATAAGTCTCGTACCGTGAAGTCGCTGTAGCGTCTGCGGATCCTTAGCGACTGCTCGGACGACAATCCTCCATACAGATCCATCACAAACACTCCACCTTTGTTGCTAATGGAGCTCAGTGCTTGCCGGAAGTAAGACACCAGATCCTTACGTTCCTGGAGGCAGCAGCAGCTAAAGTTCAATGCACAGATGACATCCGAGCGTTGTTCCACTCTTGTTTCTTCTGGATCTTCATCTCCTTCTCCACCATTCCTTGTCTCTACAGAAGCTGGAGATCTGTTCTCGAGCACAAACTTACCCGACTTTGCTAGCGGATGAAGCACATTCTGGTGGAACAAATCAACACGATTTGCTGTGTCACCCCGACCTCCCAGCACGTTGTTCTTGAGCCCCCAAGAGAGAGCATCGTCGTCCAGATCCACGCCGACAGCTGTTCTTCGCGCGTCGCCTCGCACCCATTCTGCGCTGCTCATGAAAAGTTACTGGAGAAGCCCAAGAAAAAACTCAAACCAGATCAAAGCTGTGCCGCAGAAATCCTCGCGCATATGGAGTGGAATTCGACCTCCAACGTAAGTGAGAAAGAACTTCTGCAAGTAGCTGATCTCTCCCCGTGGAGCCTGCAAGTTTGTCCAATCTTCTCAAACCAAAAGCAAGAAAAAGAGCCAACGATTTACTTGAACAGCGCGCTGGTACAAATCGTGCTTGAGCCCCTCGTCGCATTCCTCGTCCCCCTGCACGGCCGCCGCGCCATTGCCGTCATCGGCGCCATCGGCATCTCCCTCCAATGCGCTGTGGCAGTCGAATGCGGAAGAAGGGAGCTCCTCCTCCAAGCGCTTGCGGTGATGCTGCTTCTTCTTCCCCATTCTCTTCCCTAGTTACTTTGCCCTAAACCCCTAAACCCGTTAAGGATGTTTCATAAACCCTAATTACTCAATAGCCCTAGATTCTTCTCGGGTTCGAATCTTTTCTAAAGATATAAATCCCTAAAGTATATTCCTCTCCATTTGAAAAATCATAACACTGCCCTGCACTGGCGGCCGTCAGTCAGCGCCACAATTACGCGGGCGCCTCGTGTGTGTAGACCTCCGTACGTGATGATCCAACCGATTTGATCTAGCCCCGGAATCTTTCTCTGAAACAACGGCGCGAGCAAGAGGATGATCCACAGCGCGGTAATGCTGATCGCATTCTTTTCACTCCAGGTAACTACAGCTCAAGCATCCAGAGCTCCATCTCCTTCTCCTGGAGGTCAAGCTCCAGCTCCAGCTCCAGCGCCAGATTCTTATGAAGTCACAGTGCCAGCGGCGGCGAGCTCTCCGCCATCGCCGCCAAGCTCCGCTTCCAAGGCTCCCGTTGTCGATCCCAGCGCTCTCGGCGCGGATCGTTCCTCGCCCTCGATGAGCAGCCGGCGGAAGATTGGGATCGGCGTGGGCGTGTTCTTGGGCTCCTTTGCCGCGGTCTTTGTCTCGCTCGTGTACCGCAGGAGGAGATGTAACGTCAAGAAAGTGGAGCATGGAAGCAAGCGGATCCCATTCCGGGAAGAGCTCTAGGAAGATCTTTTGGCCCTGACAATGTAAGCTTGACTCTCCGGTTCTTCGTAGTGGGTTGAATCGAATCGAGCCTCGCCTAGGCAGTCGCGAAACTCTGGAATCGCCAACCTGGGGAGAAACAAACAAACAGTCCACTCATTCCAGGGGACTTAAACCAACTTAGATATGAAACACCATGACAAATGCAAGCTTATTTTCTTGTCAATGTCGACTTCTTGTTGCTCCAGGCCTTCGTTTGTTCTTTCCAGCCAAAATCGCGTCGCGTTACTTCAACTTTT